AAAAAAAAAAAAAAAAATAAATAATTTTAAACAGAACTGAGGCGCGAAAGGCGAATTAATAATATTACTTAGAACAAACGATAGAACATTTATAGTCGGAGGAAAGAGATGCGGTCGCAGTTTGAAATGATAAGATAAGAAATAGCTTTTCAAAGAATGCCTCGAGTCTTAAAAACTTCCTTTCTTTGATTATTCATGTATACTGTTATCATGTAATAAATAAGTTTCCATATAGATGTATCATGTGCCGAAAGCTATTTTTTCACCGTCAGACGATCAAAGATAAAAAGTAATTTCCAATGTATCGATATGCGTCATCGATAACAGCAACAAGAAACAATTAATCTTTCACAACTTCGCATTATTCTCTGACAATTACGAAAGATCGTTATTTACACTCGTTATCTTTAAAACTGCAACTATCGTTTAAAGTTAAATTTTAAAAATCTAACTACCTTCATTCCAATGTGAAAACTTTGGAAAATTTGTAAAATTTTTAAATTGTAAAAATTGTATAAAACTTACATAAAAATGTAAGTACACTACACATAAATTGTAAAAAACTTTGAAATTCCTTTGTGAAAATTTAGAATTTTATTCTGTATATTCGAATATCATAATATAACATATATTAAAAAATTTATTCTAATTTCGTTATCGCCCTGCTAGTAATAATATCTTTAAAGCTTTAACTATCTTTATTTTAATATGAAAAATGAAAACACTCGCTTTTTTCTTAGAGGAAAGATATTATTATATTAAATTTATCTGGTAATTTTAAACGTACAAACAAGAGAATTAACCTCTTCAGGTACACATACATACACGTTCTTTTTTCTTTTAGATAAATTAAAATTACGTGAAAAAAGAATTAAAATCTATTGGAGAATTATTCATTCCTTCAACAACGAAAAACTTGCTGTAGACATAAAATGAATAAAAGTAATGAAACAAAAAATTAAATTCGTTCTTAAAGAGAATAAATGTGTCGGTTGCTGCAGATGAACCACCCTTTACCTCGATTCGAGGAACACGGAAGCGCATCCATGCGAATCGAACTAAACAAACCTACATATACAGGGTGTCTCATGGTCAACTGAATAGAAGGTGATTCTACATGTAAAATCGCGAAAATTCGAATAGAAAGAACACAGTTTTTTTCATTATTTCATTTTGTCATTTTTTTTTTTTT